ACCTATTTATAGTGATTAATGAAATATTGGAATTTTTATTAGTGAGTTACAAATCTCTTCCCATTTCCTTAAAGCAGATTCAGATTTTATTTTCAATAAGAAATCTAGTAAACCTTATATCCCTTAAGGCATATCTATGTCTTCTGTATCCCCATAGATATAAAATAGTTTTGATTTGTATTAACCACAAATTTTATATTTCCTACAAGTGATAAATTCTCTGTGTGTTCCCAGTAGTAACTTTTTTGTCAGTTCAAAAATCAACATTTTACTGTAAGGATTTTCCAATTGTCAAATTTTTCAAAAACAGCCCATTATAAAGAGGGTTCCTTATAATGTGGGTTCCTATGGGCCTCTCTATATGAGTTCCACATGGATTGAAGAATCACTTATAAAGGTTTATGGGTGTTTCTTGCTCAAACAAAGAGGCTTACAGCTGTGGAAAATGAATTGCTGGCATAAATATATGTCCCTCATACCCCAGTTTCTGAGACCCCAGTACTTCAGCAGCTGAACAGATTGAAAAGCTCATTCTGAAGTTTGAAATAATTTTTCTCTCAGATAAAGCATAACAGGAATAAATTATACCTTAGCCAAGTACACATGAGGGCTTGCTGAGCTCAATTTCTGCCAGTGATGTAATTAGGTAGTTACAGAAATGGGAATATAAAAGTTAGATTACAAAATAAAAAGTACTGGATGACTAAATTACATGTATGTAATAAATATTGAAGAAGTTCTCCTAAGAAAGGAACTTATATACCAAGGTATGCTATTTCCTTGATTTAAAAAATTACATTATATAGTAGTTTGAAATAGTATAGAAGACATTGCAACTAACATATTTTGCGTTATTTTTATGAAGCCTGGTTTTTAAAAAAACAAAGCCCTACCAAGCAAAGACTTCACTTGCTACACAAGGTAATTTCTTGCTTTTTGCAACTGTATGAGCCAGGATTCAAAAGCAAGAAAATGGCTATATTAGGAGATATTAGTGCAAGCCCTACATTGTAATCGTCACCTTAAATTTAACAAATGAACTCTTGAATTTTTTGTTTCTGAGCTGTGTCTTTTAGTTAAGAACATACAATGCATAAAAACATATCTTCTGAGTAAGAAGGGAGGGGTAAATGCATTAATAACCTCCCCCTCCCTTCAATGGCTGCAGAAAGCAAAATGCCCATGAAGGTGTAGCCAAAATCATAGCTAAACCTGGTTATTTTCCAGCCCAAGTGATTTGTACACTGGTCTTGCACAGTGAGCTTCACTCTGCACTTCTAGGGTATAGCGTCTTTCCCAGACCTGTATAGTGAACAGTGGATAACTGGTTATTGAACAAAACCCTTCAGCAGTATTCAAACTGTAATTAACCCTTTGCCATACTACCTGAATACATGAGATACTTCAAGTCATACCTGGTTGCTTGAAAATCTCCTTCACATAGACTAGCTGCACACTCCCCCTCTTCACTAGCACCACATTTATCACTGCACACTTGTACTTAAGAAGCTGAAAATGAAAAGGTCATAAAAAGTTTTTACTGTGAAACTCCAGTACTGAAATACTATCAGTACATCCAAATTCCATCCTATTTTAAAAGAGCTGGATTGACTTGAAATGTCCTTTGAACAAATGTGTCAGAGAACAGAAGGAATTTTCTGAAAAGGTGCAAATGTCATTACTTAGGATGCAACCTGCAACAGTCCAAGGGTGCCTGGCTTCTTATTTTTGATGAAAAGTGGATGACAAAATTCCACACACACAGGCAGAATCTTACATCTGCATGCCTAAACATGCTCCTTTGAAGTGGTAGACAAGTCCCTTCCTGACACAAAGAAGGTGGCTTTATCTAATTTAAAGAAAAGTAAAACCCAGCCCAGGAAGATATTACAGGCAATGCTGGAATCAATTATTTGAACCCAACATTTTGAAGTGTCTCATCTTTGGGAACAAAATTCCCATTGGTGCTCTGCTGGTGGCCCTGAAGTCTTTAAGCTGTGTTTGCTAATTAAGTCATATGAGAAAGAAGAGGCTGTGAGTGAGAATGCTGGATTTCTGTACAGGCAGGACTTGAGGAACTCAAATTATCTGATTATTGACAATAGGCATCTGGGAGCCTCCCACCTGCCCCTTGTCTCCCCACCTGGATAGAAAGGACAGACTAGCATGCTGCCCACCCAGTTTGAGATCCAAACTGAAAAACAAACATCACTGGAAAGCTTGCGCTCCTCTATGGTTTCTTCAGTGCACTCACTGGAGAACAAAAGATGCTGGTACACTTCTCTGGATTTGGTTAAATATTTTCACTTTTGTTGGAAAACTGGCCCCTTGTGGGCAATTATTTCGCATGTCTTTGAGTTTCACAATTTAATGTAAAACAGTAACTTTGTGTATCCCACCTTCCCACTATCCTGAGCTCCTTTCCAGCCAACCCCTTAAACTCACTTCATCCCTGCTCCCTGTCAGACTCTAAAGTGTCACTCAGGGTGGATTTTTTGTGTTCCAATAGTTTCTAAAACAAACAGTGGAGGTATTCACTCAGTTGGATGCAACAGTATCTCCCAATCTGAGTTGCCTGAGCCACCATTGGCGGCAGGTCAGTTCCCTAAGACGCCCTCGCTTGCCAATCCCTGCGCTCTGCCACGTCCTGGAATCAGGGAGTTAAGGACTGGTGGTCCGCACATGTCCATTGGCAGGGAGGAGACTGTAGAGGGAAAGGGAACTAGACTCCAAAGGACTTTGACTCCAGTTTGATCTTCTTTTCCTTTCATCCTATTCAAAGAGCAATATATACGTATATATAAAATTTTACACACACGCACACACACACGTTTTCTTTGGATATTGATCTAGAAATTGTTTTTCTGATTTGCGGATTATTTTCGCTTTCTCTCTTTCTTTAGTCCTCTGCACTTTCCCTCCCTCTCCTCCCTAAACCAGCTCAGGTTGAAACTTTGCAGTGCACATTCCTTTCGCCGCCTCCAGGGATGGCTCTGAGCTCTCGGGCGCACGCTTTCTCCGTGGAAGCCTTGGTGGGGAGACCGAGCAAAAGAAAACTGCAAGACCCAAGAGAGGAGGTGCAGCCTGAGCTGCATGAGAAAGAGGGCGGAAGGGAGGAGGAGAGAAAGAGCCGCGCCGCAGGGAAGAAGAGCAAGCAGCCGGGTAAGTACCCCTGCCTCACCCCAAAGCTCTGAGCTGGTTCCTCGCGCTTGCTGGATCTGAAAGTCCCAGCTTAACCTAGGACTGTGCAGAAGGGAGGCTAGTATTCCCCTTGGACGTCCTGGCCCAGCCAGATGGCCAGTATCAGGGCCCGCTGGGACACCTCGTCCATTTGGCTGTAGGGGAAGTTTCAGAGCCTACAAGTTCAGCCTGTAATTTTTTGGTTCATTTAAGGTGAACGGGAAGGTCCCCACATGTTTGTGGAGAAGTGAGACTCTCCAACCTCCCTGAAGCCCTGAGAGCGGTAGGGTGGCTGTTTCTCAGGGTAGGACGCAGGATACACACCCAAACGCCAAGGACAATAAGCCTCGGGGACCAAAAATTTCCGAAAGAGTAAGGATGGGCAAATCTGAAGAAGGACCATGCCTTTAACAGAGCGTGTCGTGGACCCATTTATCTCCTTCGGGGTGTTGTTGGGAACTTGGGGATCAGCCTCCAAAGTTCTGGGGGAAGACACAAGGTGGGTCTGCTCCGAGACAGGCATTAGCGAGAAGGGAGCGTGCGAACCACGAAGCTCTCTCAAAAACTCTAAGCGTCTCTGTATTCAGCAGAAAAGGGAC